AATGTTAATTCCAACATTTACTAATGCATTATTAAAATCAAAAGTCGTGCTTCAACATTAGGTAATGCACTGTGAATAGACACGAACTAACTAACTGTATTTCCATTAACTAACATAAAAAAATGAATAAATACTGTAATGAATGTGTTGTTCGTGTTAGTTAATACATTAGCTAATGAAGTGTTACCAATATGTTTTAAGTGCATTTCACCATGCTTTCTAGTGTTACCGTTTATGACTTTTTGAACATGCAGAAACTACATGAACATGTTGTGTGTGCTTTTCTGTGTCTTATTTCTCCAGCGTGATTTGGATGATGCAGAATTTCCAGAAAACATTGAAGATTTCGTTACATTAGATGAGCTGGACAACAATGCAGGAGGTGATCCGTTTCCATTAAATATTACCAGGACAAAACACATTTAAAAAAAATGAAACTCGTGCATTTATGAATTTATTATCACTAACATGCATTTAGAAAATAGTGACTTTTCATGTCATGCCAAATTTAAATTCAAATCATGTACTTTTAGTCTGTGACTAACACTTTTTCCCTTTTTATTCCAGACTCCACTGTGCCAAAGGTAAGTATCACATCTCTCATTCACCGTAGATGTTGGATGTCTTAGGAAATAAACGTGTGTATTTCCAGTTAACAGTATGGACGATAGCATTGTGCGTTTTATTTCAGGATTGTAAAGTAGTGGTGGTGTGGCCTGTAAAGAAGACCCCGGACTTGATGAAGGATCTTTACAGTCTGTCTGCACCCTTTGGCAGCATGGTCAAGCATTTATCCACGTTCAAGCAGGAGGTCAGTGTTTTGTGTTTGCGGCTGGGTAAAAATGAGTGACGCACGAAATATCGGCAACTAAACATTTTCAGCCTAAACAGCCATTTTTTAGCCATTTTGCTTATTTTGTTATATATTTATATATATAAGGAGTCAGTTGTTCTACAAGGCTGCATTTATTTGATCACGAATGCCGTATGAATGGTGATATTGTGTATTATTAAAATTTCAAATAACTGATTTATATTTGAATGCATTGTGAAATTAGACCGTCTTCAGTGTCACATGATCCTTCAGAAATCATAAAAAAAGACGCTTTTTTTTGTGAAATCTTGATTATGCTATACTCTATTACGTATTCATTGTTTTTACTTATTATTTCATACTTCATTATTTAATTCACATTTGAATTAATCTGTCATGAAAACAATTTTTTTAACAGCCATGTTTATATTTCAACAACAAATGGGAGCAGAAACAATTCTATTATTAAAAAGTTGATATAAAAACTGCCTTATGTGCAGTTTAAATGTTTGTACAACAGGGTTTTTTGTATTTGAATGTTATTTAATTGATTATTAACTAAACTTTATTTTTGGTTTTGGATAAATTCATTTTATTGCATTATTTTGCAATCTTCATTTGAACAAAACAAAAATGTTTTCCTGAAATTTCAAGATTGTTTCTTGTTAAGCTATGCGTGTTTTCAGTGGATGAGAAAAAAAAAACGGTATTTGAAGTTGAACAGGACTCTCCTCTTAGTGTGTAAATCATCTCTCTAACCTAAATAAACATTGTGTTTGTGTGTGTGAATGTTCTTACTTGGATAATACTTTAACATTAACACTTATACAGCATTTATTAATCCTAGTTCATTTAAAAATGTTCCTTTCAACATTTACCACATTATAAGTTCAAAACAATGCATAATGTTTGCATTAGTTAATACATTATGAGCTAAAATAAAAAATGAGCTGCAAAACACACACGCGCACACAAAAACTTTGCAAATGTGAAAATAAAGTGAGCCTGAGCTTGTTGCAGTCAATGCACATAACGCACTGTAGCTATCATTTAATCCTGCAAACACTGAAACAGACCATGTATTCTAAAATGAATCGATACAGAATCTAAATTAAACCATGCGTTTGAGAATCCGACGTCGGTGCTTATACTCTCTCTCTGCTTTCAGTTGCATCCACATACGCTTTCAGTTTTACTCATCGCAGTTCTCTTGCACGTTTTGCCTTTGGCTATTATGTGTGTTTGTGTTCTTGTAGGCTATGATTGAGCTGGAAACGGCTGAAAAAGCCCAAGAAATGGTGCAGTTCTACAGCGATCACAAGGCAACGATATGCGGCAGGCCGGTGTCTGTTTCCATGTGCCTCACCATGAAAACAATAGAGGTACGTGTTTAGAAACAACATGCTGGACAGACCGACAGTTACAGTAGCATCCCATCTATCAGTGATCCCATTGTTTCAGTCAAGATGCACTAGCAGCCAAAAGTTTAGAATCGTTTAGATATTTAAATGTTTTTGACAGAAGTGTCTTATGCTCATGGAGGCTGCATTTATTTGATCAAAAATGCAGTAGTAAAAAAAAAAAAAAA